CGAATAATTTTTGTTCTGCCGGTATGCAGATGAAATCCTAACGAATCCCATGTCCTTTAACGAATAAAAAAACGTCCTTTAATCATATGTATGCATAATGGATGCTCTTTGTTATTCAACAGCTATTTGGTGAAGCACATTGTGTTCAGAACTACAGTTCCAAAAAGCGAAGAAACAATATACCGGAAACGGAGTCCAGTAATACGAGCTGGTGATCAAATGCAACGGCGTAAAATGATCAACTCTGTAACTCCGAGCGCCCCCAAAATATATGGAAATGGCGTAGGTACTCATCAGAAATGGCGTAGGTACAAATCACCAACAGACTTCGTTTCGAGCGCAAGGACATCGAATACGTGTCATACGACGCTATCACAGCTTTACCACAATCCGTTCTAGTTAGTCACGCTACGTCAAATTGGTCATTTATTAACCAAGCACAATTAAACGATACTGCAACTTACTCTCCTCATGCTTAGTCAAGACTATGCGACTGGATATGATCGAGGCATCCCTAATGCCTCACTGTGTGTTCCGAGCGATGATTATACATTCCTCGCATTTCTGCTCATTGAGAACAAGACCGTGGGAGTTTACCTACCTCAACAGGCTTTCAAGATCCCACTACACCAAGGACGCCTATCACAGAGGAGGCGACCGCGGAATCAGCATATTTCATACAATAGTTCGGTTCGCGTGTTCGGCATTCATTTGTAAAAATGGAAACTAGCAGGAGTGACAGAGAGGAACCTCGAGGCATGCTCAAATTGTTAGGTTTCAGTGTTGACTGAAAACCGCAGCTTAAAATAAACTACCATCGGTTTGATCAATACATGACCAGTAGATGAATGATATTCAGTTGTTTCGAGCGACTAAGAATCAAATTTAGCACGTTTTTTATTTTCTCACATAATTTATACTGTAATATGTAACTTTGCGCTAATAATTACATATCGAAATCTAATTTTAATATAAATATAAATTTTCTGATGGCTACAAGAGGCTCATTTAGTATTCAGCGGGAAGAAGGCTACCGTCAAGAAGTAGCTTGTAGCAAGAAGTAGTGAAAAGTTTCAACTAGAATTAGCGCGCGAAC